AGGGGGGGGGGGGGACTTATCCTTTTAAAGACACCTGTTACCTGTCAAAGCCCGCTGGCCAAAATTTAGTCACATGGTAGCCATAAGGCAGGCTGGGAGATACGCTCTTAATTCTGGCCGTGTGTCCTGCTAAGGCCCAGATATTTTATTAGTACTTAGGATGGAAGGGAAAGGATATTAGGGATACAGACTATCAATCTGTGATGACACTCCAGAGGGAAAAAAAGAGAGAGAAGATGGTGGGCCAGCAGGCAGGAGACAGGAGATGGAGGGAAGAGATATTAGAATTGTTTAAAAGGTGGAATCCCCAAAGCCTAGTGATGCTGAGGTGAGGGAAGGGAAGGGACGGAATAGGCCGCGACGACTTAGCTCTTTTTCTGAGTTGGGAGAGCCTGAGGTAGAGACGCAGGAGGTGGAGAGGATTTGAGGAGGTGAGTTCTGCTTGGAAATAACTGAGAGGCCTAAGGGACACCTGGGATGGGGAAGGAAGGGTCACACCCAGGGAGAGGGAAGCAGAAGCCCACGGGGGGGGGGATCTCTAACCCGCTCCTACGCCCCCCCACCCCAGTGCCACCCACCATCAGTGTGCCCAAGGGCAGGGCAGTGGTGACCGTGCGCGAGGGCTCCCCCGCAGAGCTGCAGTGCGAGGTGCGGGGCAAGCCACGGCCGCCCGTGCTCTGGTCCCGCGTGGACAAGGAGGCTGCTCTGCTGCCCTCGGGGCTGCCTTTGGAAGAGACCCCGGACGGGAAGCTGCGGCTGGAGCGCGTGAACCGCGACATGAGTGGGACCTACCGCTGCCAGACCGCTCGCTATAATGGCTTCAACGTGCGCCCCCGCGAGGCCCAGGTGCAGCTGAACGTGCAGTGTGAGTCCCCCTGTCCCACCGCACTACCTCCCGGGCTGTCCCTCCCCGTTCTCGCCAGGCCTGCCCCCCTTTACCCCTTCACCCACCCTAGTGCAACCAAACCCCTCCGCCTACCGCTGATACCCCTAAGCCCTCGATACCTTGACACATTTTTACAGGCGGGGAAACCAAGTTACAGAGAGGTTACGTGACTTAGTGACGTAGTTAGAGGCGGGGCAGGGATTTGAACCGATGTCATCTAGCTCCAGGGATCAGGCTCTAAATCCCGACGTCAGGCGGGTTTTCATTGCGCGGGGCGTGGGGGGCCATCTGAATAGAAGCCCAGTCTGGGACGCACGGCCGGAGGCAGTAGGCGTCTGCAGGTCGGGAGACAGGCCCGCCCCGAGACCCTTCCAGGCTGGGGGCACGGGAGCAGGGGCGAGGGCATCGCCTCCCCCTCGGGGCCGCTCCTCGGACCTTCTCGGCCACGCTGACAGCTGCCCCCGCCTCCGCCCCCAGTCCCACCCGAGGTGGAGCCCAGCTCCCAAGACGTGCGCCAGGCTCTGGGCCGGCCCGTGCTCCTGCGCTGCTCGCTCCTCCGAGGCAGCCCCCAGCGCATCGCCTCGGCCGTGTGGCGCTTCAAAGGGCAGCTGCTGCCTCCGCCGCCCGCCATCCCCGTCGAGACCTCCGACCACTCGGAGCTTCGCCTCGACGCCGTCACCCGCGACAGCAGCGGCAGCTACGAGTGCAGCGTCTCCAACGACGTGGGCTCCGCGGTCTGCCTCTTCCAGGTCTCCGGTGAGCGTCCCCTAGGTCCCGCCCCACCCTACCAGCCCCTCTCGGGCCCAGGCTCCGCCCCAACTCCAACCCCGCAGGTACCCAGCCGGGACCCCTGGGTGTGCAGCCAGCCTGCACCAACTTTCCGAACCCGCCCCTGCCAGGCCTGGGCCCCGCCCACCTG